CGTTATTATATACTTTATTATTTGAGTTAATATTTAATGATTGTTTAGTTTTTAAGACAGGAGTGGTGAAGATAGATTGTTCTAAAAGTTTTAGTTGTGACATATTTCGTTACGTAACTCTGTATGAATCGTACGTTGTGTTTGCAATTACATTGTTGTCTAAGCTTTATTAATATTGTTGATGTCACGTTACTCGAATCATCCGCATTTTTCATAAGTAAGTACTGTTACCTTACAGCACTGCTCGCGTAATTTAGAGAACGTTCGAGGCCTCAGTGAATAAAATATAAATATAGGCGACCAAGCGAGTGCAAGTGAAGTGAAGAAAAAAATGCAGTTCAGTCAAAAAAAAAAAGAAAGAAAACGTCAAGTTAGTGATTAGCCATAACGAGCGATATTTTAAAGCGAGTTTCACAGTTTAATAGACATAAGGAAAATAATTTGTCTTGTCAAATAATGTTCTAAAGTAATTGAACCCGCCTGTGTGGACTTTGACGAAAAGGAGACAATTATTTGAAGTTCAGGATACAACTGTGGTAACCCACGAGGTAGCATAAGTGAATTATTCACTGATTTGTATTGTGAGAAAAGAAGATAAAGAAAAATAATTTGTCTTTTCAATTGGATTCTAAATTAATTGAATCAACCTGTGTGGACTTTTGACAAGAAAATAGAATTATTTAGAGTTTGAGATACTACTGTGTTAGTTATCCACAGTGTAAAGAATTTTTGTACATAATTATTAATGCAAATAAACTCGAACCTTTATCTCCAGAATATAATTTTATTCCTCAATATTTCGCTTTTACAGCTTCGTCAGGAGTAAACAATCACCTACAAGTTCTCGAATCAAGCTAAAACAAATTAGAACACAATCACCGGCTAAACGAATAACAAGTCACGTAACTTAAGGCACGTACCTACTTAATAATAATATTATCAAACCTTTTTGAATTTAGATTGTTGAAACAATGCAAGCCAACAGTAGTAGATGAACAATGAATGTAGATCGTCTGGTAAACAATTAAAATCATATGACTACTAAAATATTTCTTTATGTATACTATATGATCCTCATATCTATTAATATTGTTATGGCACTGGAAGTCGTGTGACACTGGGAGCATGTGCACTGGAGTTTCTAGAATTATCGGGGAACCTCGCAAATTTCGGAGTGCTTGCTAGACGCCCTCTTTTTTAGTATATAAGCCTGGCAAGAAAAATCAGCGTGATTGAAGAGATAGATAATTGAGTAGAGTGAACAGTAGGCACCGTAAGTAAAGTGTGTGAATTGCTGTGATTTATAGCATATATTAAAGTGACTGTGGAAATTCTGTGTATTACCAAAATGTGTAGCGAGAAAGAATAAACTAGTTTTAATCAAGAAAGGACTTGTATCGCTGAAGTTTCTCGGAAAGAATTTCTACCTGAAATTATCAAACAAGCAGATATGTAACAAATTTGTGTCAGAAGTGGGATGGAAAAAAGAAAGATGGAAACAAGAAGTGGCAAACCAAACTACGACTTAGCAGATTTGATGGCAGCAATACAAAAACAGCAAAAGAAACAAGAAGAACGAGAAAAGAAACAAGGGGAGAGATTACAGCAGT